TCCACCTCACGCAGGTGCGGTTTCCGTCCCCGCCTCTCCTGGTGGGCACTCAGGACGGCCACACGGGAGCACGGCGTCCGCCTGCTGCCCGAGGGCTCCCTGGGTGTGTGCCTTTCTGCCTACATCCTGGCGGTGCCAGGCTCCGCGGGAGGGGACAGGACGCCAGCCCTGTCTTTCGAAGGAGGGCAGCTTCCATGTGAAGGCCCCTTTCCACTTCTCAAAAGGAAGCATTTAGTGAGCAGCTACTAAGAGCATCACGACGCCTGCTGTGTGAAGCCCCCAGTTTGCCAGCGGGGAGCAGGGCTTGCCTAGGCACAGGGAGAGCCCGCACACCCGCACTGGTCCCAGGCACCCTGCGCAGCTCGGGGGGGCCCTCGGCACCCTGGGAGGTGGCCTCTCTGTCACACGTCAGAGACCTCGGTGAGGAGCAGGGTCCTGTCCATGCCCCCTGCAGATGCAGGCCCGGTCTGTGCTGTGCGTGTGGGCAGCACACGGCGCAGTCCCCTGGGGCTGTCTCTCTACACCGAGCCGGGCATCGCCGCGCCAACTGGCGTGTGGTGACACTGAGTTCAGGGTGTCGTGGAGCTGCTGACGCAGCGCCCAACTGTGATTTTAAAAGACTCCGAGACCACGCCGCAGGTCCTTACTCAGCCTGAAGGAAGGGACAGAGGTCCAGCAGTGCTCTGACCGGAGGGAAGGCGAGACCCTTCCCCTCCCCAGACGCCCCGGCATCTGAGAGCGCAGGGCAAGTCCCTCTGCCCCTCGGGCTATCTGGCGTCAGCCCGCAGCCAGGCCCCGCACCCGAGTGAGCTCAGTCTCCATTTCGGAAGCCCCCCCCAGGTTGTCTAATTTTTATTAGGAAAGTTCAGAAGGGGCCAAAGGTGAAGCTGTGCTGAAGTCTCCCTGGGGGCAGCTGGGGGTGGGAGCAGGGACTCAGGCGGAAAGGACAAGTGAGCTCGACTTCTGGCCGGAGCTTGCAAACCGAGGGTGAGTCTGGAAGCAGCCCGCTTCCTAGGCCTTTTCTCCCGCCCTGGCACTGCCTTTTCAGGGCTATTTTAAGCCCTGTGAGAATAGGGCACGAGACAGGGAAGGGCCCGCCCGGCCTAGCCCTCCCCGGTGTACCTCGCTGGGACTCCCGCTACCTTTAATTAATGCGGGAGGGAGGTGAGACCAGCGGTCCCCGCGGTGAGCTCGGCCGGGTGGTAAAACCCCACCTGTAGCCGGACGGGCCCACTGCCGGCACGGGGTCCTGAGGCCTTGCGCTGTCGCCTGCCAACAGGAGGCTCCATCTGGACCAGCGACGGAGGGCAGTGAAGTGACCCCTGAATGTTCACTCAAGAGGACAGGGCACAGGACAGTCGGTCTGGTTGCTCATCTAGTTCTGTGTCCCCGCCTCACACCCCAGACCGCGCTTCACCGACAGGTCCCTCTGAGGACCGCACACCTGTCTCTGGAATAAAACAGCTTCCCTGCCAGTGACCCGCGCGGGCTGTCGGGTCCGCGTTCGCTCACCCGGGGAAGGCCGCAGGTCCACCGCACACACCCACCCCCGCAGCATCCCCCGCAGACAAGCCGGACACTGCGAAGCCGGGGTCCCTCGGAGAACACTAAGCTTTACTACGTGTCAGAGGTTGATCGTATCTTTGGAAACACAACAGACTAAGCTAAGAACTGGTAAAAACATATTCTCTGTTGTACCCCAAACTCACCAACATCAGTGTGCTACAGGCAGCCTGTGGGCCCCAGGGTCACACGGAGCTGTGACAGGCATGTGCATGGTGCCTGGCAGGTGTCGGGGAGCAGATAATTAAAGGGGCTCCTCTTCAGATAGAGCAGCACATGAATAAAATTCCAACAGATTTGCAATTCCCACCCACCGTCCTGCGGTCTAGAGCAAGCCGCCCTCTTCCTGCTCTTGACCCCATGAACCGAAGTAGATCTGTTTATCTAAGACTCTATCAGTTGAGGGAAAAAACCCAGTTCTAGAAGTCTCTTTAAGCTAAAGGAACCACATGGCTCTCTTCAATTTTGCGGAGAATACTCACAATAAAACCACTGTTAAGTCTGCGCAACGGTTTCAGTATGAAGTTTAGTCCAAAAATGCCAACCCACAGCGGTGAGGAACCCTTTAGGTCCCCACGTCTGCCATCCGTAAGTCCATCCCGAGAGCAGTTCTTTCTGAACAGACTGAAGACAGGCTGCAGAGCGCACGGCCAACCTCGGCACAGACATCGCTCCCGGGCTGCGAGCCGGGGCTGGGGTGGGGGGGCCTCTGGGAAGAGGGTTCGGGTGGGGCCGGCTTCCCTGCGTTTCTATTACAGTCTCGGGTTGGGGGGTGAGCCAGGAGATGACCACGTGAAGAAGGAAGTTACCACGGGACTGGGGGGGGGGGGCGCGTGCGGCTACAAAGCACGTGAGGCGCACTCAGTGCGATGAGGGACTGAGCTGCTTGGTTTCATTTCATCTTAATTAAGTTTAAACAGCCGGCACAGAAGAGCGACAGTCTAGAAGGCAAAAGCAGCCTCCTGGCAAACAGAACAGCTCGGAGGAGCCCAGTGCATCTGTCCCGTCCCCCAGGAACTGCGGGGGGCAGCCCAGTGAGCTCCCCTTCTCAACTGCTTCAGCGGAGGAGGAGCTCTGTCCCAACGAACCATCAGGGCAGGCGACTCGCCGGAGTGGGAGGCTGCTGTGCTCTTGCTGTAAACAACGAGAACTGAAGCTGAAAAAGTTATTCTGAATTTTTACATACCTCTCTAAATTGAAATATAAACTCTGGATTAAATGTTTACAACAGAAGAGGTTTAAACTGCTTAAAGATTTTTATCTTTGTTGCTGCTGTTGTTGTTCTCCTTTGACCTGACAGGGCATGGAGACCTGGGGGGCGGGTGGCAAGAAACCACCTGCAGACAAAATTCCAGGTGCTCCGACTGGAAAGAAGTTCACTCCGATAGCAATTGTGTGACTGGGGGCAGGGGGGCAGGGGGGCAGGGGTGGGGGATGAGCTGCTCTTTACAAAGTTCAAGCATCCAGAACATGTTCAAAATGCATTAGCCTGGCTTACGATATGTCGCATACGCATTCCTAAAAGTCCCACTCACGGGCTGTGGGCACAGGCTTCTGGCCTCACGCACGGCACACCGGAGCTTCAGATGGCAGCCCGCCCTAGAGACGTGTCATCTGGGGACACGGCCCCCTGTGTGCCGCTCGCCAAGGCCGCGGCAGACACAGACTGCACTGAACGCCGGCCGGTGCTGTTCCTCAGACGCCTAAAGACGGGTCCAGGGCCTCGAAGTTGCCCAAACAACATACATCGGTGCAGGTTTTAACAAAGGAAGTCTCTCAGATCCGGAGCCATAGGAGACAACTCTAGTTTTAGGATTAAAAAACTATACAAACCACACAGTTTAATACCGTAAACGGACTACAGCTGTGAAGTCAAAACAGACCTTAGAACACACACCGTGCCTTTCCCGACAAATAGCTTCCAGAGCAGGGCACTTCCCCAGTGGGCGGTCTGAGTGACGGTGAGACCAGGGCTGGCGCGCCCAGTCACCTGTGTCCGGGCCCCAGGTGCCCGTCCGTACCTGGCTCCACCCTTTCACTATTTACCAACAAGTTGCCTAAGTCCACTGAAGCTTGCGAACAGGCCTCAGGCAGGGGCGCGGTACCGGTGTGCATGGATGTCACACCATGGAATTTAAACATAAGGTCCTGCATTCAAGGCTCAGAGGCAGTCCCACCAGTACCAGCCAAAAAGTCAGGGATTCCTAACAATTTAAGGGGAAAAAAGGCCTAGGGAATGCAGAAAGAAGCAGGTTCAGTGCAGGCGACTGCTCGGATGGCTGATCCAACCTCAGACCGCCTTCGCAAAACACTAATTGCCAAGACAGTGACTACAGTCTGCTGCGATTTGGGCTGCAGATGTTTCAGGGCCTGGAGGGACCAGACCCCCTGGAGGTGTCTGAGGCCCCGCCCCCCGAGGTGAGTCAGGAGGCGTCACCCCCTGGGAAAGGGAAGGAAGCCAGACTGCCGACTCCTAAGGGCTACAGGGTTGACAGGGGATGAGGAATAGTCTGGTTTTGTGTGGCTCCGGGGGACAGAAGGAGAAGCAAGTGGTGAGTCTCAGTTCAATACAAGTAAGAATAAGCCCAGGATCAGGGCTGCTCTGCAGCAGGGTATCCACCCGCTGCGGTCAGACTGGGTAACTCCCTCTGCTCCCCACCCCCACTGAGCAGACAGACACTGGCACAGGCAGGACCACTGCTCCAGCTCTCCCCGCTCCCAGCATCCCATCCAACTACAAACCATAATCAGCAATTGATAATCTGCAATTTCCAGGGCTTTAACAAAAGTCAGGGGCACGAACAATTACTAGCAAAACAAGCTCTGACCCCGGGCAGTTTCTGGCCTCTCACTAACACCAGAAACAATGCCCTCAGCTGCGACATTCAGCAGCTACACCTTCTAGGTAGTTTCCCACATCATTTCCCTAAATACTCTTCTAAGTTTCAGTCTTACAGACTCCAAAATCAAAATGACTGAGCTTAAACAGATTTTCTTAAAACTTCCTGAAATTCTACAAAGGTTGCAAGCACGAAGGATGGGCAGGAAGTTCTAGGGCTGCCCCAGCTGGTGCCTCGGAGAACTGGTCCCAGTTCCTCTACCACGCAGGGGTGGAGGGGGTGCAGATTGAGGGCAGACTTACCTGTACTGGTGGCGGGTGGCCATTCTACCCACTATTTCCATGCTTCCTGAAACGCCTAGCTAAGTGACAATGCAGTGTTCACAACACAAACCTAATGTAGTCTGGGCCCCTTCTAATTGTACCCTAGACGCAGATTACAGATCCCAGAAGTGCAAGGCCAAATATTCAAACTCCAATTGATGTCACAGAAAGGACTAGTCTGAAAGAGATTAACAGCATTTCTGCCAAAGCCACTCCCTCCCCCTCCCACAGCCCCAACACATTCCACAGCCTCAGTTGCAAAGGCTGGATTTACCTTTCTGCACGTGGATGATGTCCGGGAAGTTGGCCAGGTGGCCCTGGTACAGCGCTAACAGGTCCATGACGGGGTCCAGGTCCTGCCTGGGCTGCTCCGCGAAGAGCTCGCCAATGGCGTCGTAAGCGTCTCCAGTGAAGGCGATGGCCTGGTTCAGGCCGGCGGAGAAGGCCTGCTGGTCCAGCTCGAAGGCCTGGCTGAGGCCGCGCAGAGACTGGCCCACCTTCTGGTACTCCTTCTTGAAGCCCGTCACCTGCTTGCGTGCGAACTCGGTGGCCGTGTGGTTGAGCTGCAGCGCGCTGTCGTCCATCTTCTTGGTGAAGCTCTTGAAGCCGTCGATGCGGCTTTCCACCTCCTGCAGGTCCAGCGCTGCGGCGGGCGGCGTGCTCAGCGTCAGGAAGAAGTTGGCGCCCACCATCTCGTCCCTCTCGGCCTTCCTCTTGCCTTGCTTCCAGGCCTTCTCGTCGGTGCCGCTGGGGCAGGTCAGGAAGTGCTGGAAGACATCACACTGCGCCAGCACCGGGTGGCTGGTCATGTGGTTCATCCACCAGATAAGGCCCTTCCTGCGCTTGGAGATGAAGTCCTCCTCAAAGCGGCCGGTGGCCTGCTTCTCGGGCAGGTGCGGCACTGAGATGACGGGGAACTTCTCGGCCAAGCGCGCGTACAGCCAGTCGAAGTGCTTGTAGCGCCGGTGCACTGGCACCTGCGTGTGCGTGGGCACCAGCTTGTAGGAGATGTAACTCTTCATGCCCTTGAACTTGGTCTGCTTGGTGGGGTCGTCGATGGTGCACTGGAAGGGGTAGGGGTTCTCCTGCCACTCGGGACCGTAGGGCCCCAGCACCACACACAGCTTGTCCCCGTCCTTGACGAAGCCCGAAGCCTCGCCCAGCACGAAGGCTTCCCCGCCCGACTTGACGAAGGTGGAGAAGCGGTTCAGGTTGCGGCTCACGGTGGCTGAGCTCTTGGCCCCCGACGGCTGGTGCTGTGAGGGCGCTGGGCCGCCGCCGCGGGAGCCCAGCGACAGGTCCGAGCGCGTGGACAGGCGGTAGCGGCCGGCGCCCCCCGCCGACGACGAGCCGTCCAGGTCTGGGTAGGCGCCGCTGCCCAGCGCGCCAGGCTCATCCGCCACCGTGGAGCTGTCGTCCCACTCATCGTCCCAGTCGTCGTCGCTGCCCTGGCTGGCCTGGTAGCCGCCGCCGTAGAGCTGCTGGGGTGACGGCTGCAGGGCGCCCCCGGCGTACGGGAGGCCGGCGCCCGGTGGTGGCTGGAAGGTGCTCGGCGGCTGGAAGGAGCCCGGCGGCTGGAAGGAGCCCGGCGGCTGGAAGGCGCCCAGCGGCGCGGCCGGCAGGGGCTCGAGGCCGCCGGGCGGCACGTTGGCGTAGCGGGCCGGGGCGCCGGGGCCGCCGTCTGGCACGGGGACGGGCTCCGGCGCGCGGATCACCTGCACGTACGAGGCCGGGAACAGCCCACGGTCGCCTCGGCTGTTGATGCCCTCGAGCCAGCCCTCGATGTCCTGCTCGCTGCACAGGCTCAGCACCTCGTGCTCCCGCAGCGAGATCTCGCCCGGGTTCTCCGACCTGAAATCGTACAGCGCCCGGGCGCGCAGCGCCATGGTCCCGGCCTCAGCAGCTCGGCCGCCGAGGGCCCTCGGAGGGAGCCCGAGGCCGCGCACTGCGCCCCGCCCGCCGGTCGCGCCCTCCTCCCGCTCCGCGCGCCGCCGTCTGCGAGCCGAGCTGCCGCCGGGGGGCGGGGCCCGCGGCCGCCCACGTCCCCAGCCGCGCGAGTCGACCGCCGAGAGCTGCGCGCCAGGCGAGAGCAAGCGAAGTCCGAGCCGCCGCCCGCCTCTGGCCCCGCCGCGCCGCCGCTGCCCCCTAGTGGCCAGTGCAGTGCAGCCGGCGCCGCGGTGACTGGAGGGTGGAGGTGGCTGCTCAGAAGTGGATGCGCTTCCCTGGGCATTTAAGTGAGAAAACGTCTCCTGGAAAGGAAGTTAACACAGTGTTTGCAACCCCCGTAACCGCTCCCCCTCCGAGCGCTCGGGGACTGATGAAGGGCTGTCCTGCGCCCCAGCGATTGCGCTGTGAAGACAAGGGACGCCCTGCGGGGCGCCGGCGAGCAGCGCCCTACCAGCTGCCAACGCGGGAGCCCGCGGACCCTAAGGGGCGGAGGCGACGGGAGCACAGGCAGGAGGGAGCTGCGGGTGACACCGAGCGCCACCGCGCAGTTTGCGGCGCACGTGTCCCTGCGCCTCCCTGAAAGGTGTGTCGCGCAGTGAGTGACAGTCTGGGCTGCGCCGGAATCCACCTGCTGACCACGCCTACCTGCGTGGCGGTGAGCGATGCCGAGTAACCCCAGTTTCACGGCCGAGGGAGAGGAGACGGGGACGTGAGTATACGGCAGTCCACGTGGGGAGCCCAGCGTACGGCCTTGCTGCCGCCTCCATAAAGAAAACGTGGGTCCCCAGTCCCCAGCCCGGGCTGTGAGCACCGGGACGGTTCCCGGGGTCCCGCCCCCCCCTCTCCGAAATCAGTGGGCGTGCTCCAGTGCTCCCTCTCACTGTATTTGTAGCATTTTAAAGATAAGTAGATTTAAAAATCGCTTACTGAAACTGTAATCAACTCCAACTCTTGCAGTTGCTTTGTTTCACATCTTTTTATCTGCCTCCCCTTCGGTGTGTCATTTGCCCGAAACCTTTCTTCTCATAATCTTCTCTTATTAAGTGCCTAATTATTCCTTTGAAGACGCCACTCATTGGGATTCAGCATTCATCTGTCATTAATTTCAGCCTGTCTTCTGACCCTTTCCAAGCAAGTCTGGGAAACAGGCCAGAGGAGCACACAGTTTTTGTAAGGGCCGTGGTATTCCAAGCATCCTGCACAAAGCCACCAACCCCGGATACCAGAGTTGCTCCCACGGTGTTTATTTATAATGCAAAACCTTAATTCAGTTCAGTAAGCAAATTCGAAATGACAACGTCTTTAGCTGGAAATTCTGGGCTGGGCCTCTCCTCACAGCAAGCAACAGGGGTCACTGAATTTCATTGTCAACAACGCACGTGGCCGGAAACATGAAGCCGACATTTACCAAACATCTACAACACAATTTGCTCTGCTTATTAACTCACGAGAAGCTAGGATACTTAAGATCCATGCATTTAGTTTCCCCCTTACTGTTCGTCTGGTAGTTTCTTCTTAAGCCAAAAAGTTTATGAAAGTGACATAAAACTGGTGGTGTGTCGGGCTCTGGCACAGGGAGGCTGACCCACTTTCAGGTGTGAGGATTCTGGGCGTCCGGGGCAAAGACCGGCACAGGTGCGCTGGGCCGCTCGGGGAAGCAAAGAGCAAGGACAAGCCGGTGTCGGGTGGTTTCTGGCCCTGGCGCTCCGGCACGTGTTCAGCTTCCAGAGTCTGGTGGGAGGCCAGGCAAAAGGACAGGGGACGGACTATGGAAAGGGCCTGGACCTGTGGGACCCAAGGGACAGGAAAAGCCTCCCCCCGGGGGCTTTGGGATAATCTATAAAATGTACTCAGGCGTTAGAAACCGGTGACTGGTCATGCGGGGAAGGAGATGCAGTAATGTACTTTTAAAAGATTTCTCTAGAAAGATGGAGCATATTCTTCAAAATGTAATTTACATAGTCATTGTTATAACGATCAACTCTTTCTGTTTTTTTATGCTTTTGTAAAGAGAAGTTACTAGGGGACATGAAATGGCCGTGAACAACTGTAATTTCTCACTTCTCCCCTTAGCATTTGGTGGCCTGGCCTCTCTGTCCTTCTCTTCCTCTAGAGAGAGGCCACAGTGGTTTCTCTCCTATTTCTGGAACAGGCGCAGCATATTTGTGACACGGATTTCTTTAATAAATTCTTTTAGAGAAGTTTTAGGTCGAGCAGAGGTACAAAGGTTTTCCAGCTAGACCTGCCTCCACCCATGCAAAGCCCCCCACTGCCAACGCCCCAGCCCCAGAGTGGTGCGCGGGTTGTGACTGATGAACCTACGCTGACACACCCTCAGCACCCAGACGGCACAGTGAACAGCAGGCTCCCTCTTGGTGGTCACATTCTGCGAGTTTGGACAAACACATGACCTGCACCGACCATCATAGTGTCACCCAGAGTGATGTCACTGCCCTGAAACCCCTCAGCGCCCTGCGTGCTCACCCTCCCTGCCTCCAGCTCCTGGCGACCCCGATCTTTCCGCTGTCCCCACAGTTTCCCCTTTTCTAGGGTGCCATATCGCTGGGAACATCCAGGGTGTAGCCTCTTCAGATTGGCTTCTTTCACTTAGTCATACTCATTGAGGGTTCCTCCCTGTGTCGTCATAGCTTTTTACAGCATCACTTTTTAACCACTGAATAATATTCCATTTCCTGGGCGGACCACAGTTTATCTATGCAGTTACCTCCTGAAGGGCACCTTGGTTGCTTCCAGGTTTTGGCAGTGACGAGTCCAGCTGCCGTGCACATCTGTGCACAGCTTTGCATGTGGACCTAAGTTTTCAGCTCCTTTGAGGGAAAATACCAGGGAGCACAATAACCACGTGGTACAGCAGGAGCACGTTTAGTTGGGTAAGAAGCCGTCGACCGCTCGTCAAAGGGACGGCACCACTTTGCACTCCCACCAGCAAGGACCTTCTGTTGTCCCACGTCCTCACCGGCACGTGCTGTGGTCAGTGTCCCAGATTGAGACCGAGTGTGTGGTGGTGCCTCGCTGTTGTTCTAACTTGCATTTCCCTGGTGATGTATGATGGAGCATGTTGCCATGTGTTTGTCATGTTCATGTCTTCTGTGGCAATGTCTCTTTAGGTCTTTGGTCCACTTTTAAATTGGGTTCTTTGTTTTCTTGTTGACTCTTGAGATTTTGGGGTATATTTTGGACACAGTCCTTCACCGGATGTGTTCTTGGCAGACGCCACTCCCAGCCTGCGTTTGCCTTCTTCTCTGGCATTGTCTTTCACAGAAGTATCTAACTTTACCGAAGTCCAGCTTACCAACTAGTTCTTTCATGGACACCATCTTTGGAGTTATAGCTAAAAAGTCATTGCCATACCCAAGGTCATGCAGTTTTTCTCCTATGTTATCTTCTAGGAGATCTATAGCTTTGCATTTCACATTCAGGTGTCTGATCCACTCCGAGTCAACTTCTGTGGTGATTTGGGTCTGTATCTAGATTCCCTCTCTTTCATCTATTTGCACATCTGCTGTTCCAGCACCGTTTGTCAGGAAGACCTCTCTGCCGAAGCCCAGTCACCTCTATTTCTGTAAGTCTGTGTCTGGGCTCCCGCCCCACTGCACTGGCCTGTCTGCTCGCTCACCCGCCCCGCGCTGTGCCGAGGACAGCAGCTGCTGACCGGGGTGCAGCTGAGCAGTGCCAGGCTGGAGCCCTGTTCCTCTCCTTCGGCAGAGCGCTGGCGGCTCCGGCCTCTCCACACACTTCAGAGTCAGTTTGTTGATATCTACAAGATGACTGGCTGGGGTTTTTATAGGAGGCCATTCTGTGTGGCATGGGCCCAGATCCCACTCGGAGATGCATAGGACCCACGCCCAGGAATAGGTTCTCCTGTGGGGAGTCAGGCCTGCAATGTACTTAGGCCGCCATGAGACTTGCTTTTGCTAAAACTCCCTCACCCTGAATTGAGACAGAAAGTGCTTTCCTGTAACTTCCTAAAATCTGTGCTAAACCTCCCAATGAGTGTAACCAGTTCAACCACTTTTCCTTTTTTTTAAAAATTTTATTTATTTATCTTTAGAGGGGAAGAGAAGGAGAGAGCAAGAGAAACATCAATGTACGGTTGCCTTTCATGCATCCCCTGCTGGGAATTGGCCTGCAGGGAACCGGCCTGCAACCCAGGAATGTGCCCTGACTGGGAATCAAACCGCGATTGTCTGGTTCGCAGCACTTTTCCTTTTGCATTTGCAAATATCCTTCTTCTGTGATGTGATTAGCAGAATCCTTTGTTTTCTGTAAAAGGTGACCTCCTAAGGCAAACCTGTGCATAGTAAATGAGGACCATCATGTAACGTGCCCAGGAAAGCAACAGAGGCCTGTAATGGTGGAGGCCGAGGCTTGCCCTCCTCTTGGGAGAAGCCGTGCCGTCCCTTTTCCTCCACAGGACCCAGTGGTCCGGGTGAATTTCTTAAATCTCATCCACAATGTGGCGGACCCCACGATCCGGGGTCTGCATCAGCTTTTGATTGGCATTGCATTAAATCTATAGATCAAGGGGGGAAGAATTGGCATCTTGGCAATATTGAGTCTTCCTATCAATGAACGTGAACTGTCTCTCCACTTATTTAGCTGTTGTTTAATTCTTTCGTCCGAGTGTTGTTGTTTCCTTGTGTGGACCTTGTACTTGTTCCGATGGGTTTAAACTCAAGCGTTTTCATTCTGAGGCAGTGCTAGTTAATGTCCGTTGTATTGTGCTCTGAGTTTCAGTTCCACCTGTTCGTTGCTGGCGTGCATGGGAACCCTCACTTTACTCACTTCCATCCTTTTTCTTGTGGGTGACCAGGGAGATTTCGTTGGTTTGTTTTGTCCTTGGTTCTTTTGGATTTTCTACACGGGCAATTGTGTCCTCTGCAAACAAAACCAGTTTTCTTTCTTTCTTTCCAATCTGTGTACCTTTTATGTCCTGTTCTCTTTATTGCATTTGCTGTCTGGTTTTGGGATTAGGATGATGCTGGCCAGAGGGAATGAGTTAGGGTGCATTCCCTCTGATTCTATCTTCTGAA